GGCACTCTTAATGTACTAGATCAGCCTCATGGGGCACGAAACTGCTGCGGACTACGTGACGTTGTGTGCATCCAACAACACAGCATTTAATTTGGCGGACTTTCTCGTCACTGTGGTTTCTTCTTGGGATTAGGGTTGCCTTTATTTCCCGATAACATTAGAGGCATCAGATTCGCGCTAAGATCTGCCCTCTGAGCCCCCCCCCCCCAACTACGCTAATGCCCAACATCGTGTTTGTTGGTCATCAGCGAACCGGAAGCGGCAACACATATAAGTGACAGATGAAAGTTTGCACATGGCGACAAATCGCTGTCACTTGGTAAACACCCCACTCAGAGTGGATAACAGTTCTGACAAGGAGTTCTCACCGGGAGTTCTCACCGGGTGGGGATGTAATTTTTACCTGTTCACGTGTGATGCTCAATGAAATGCCCCCCTTAGGAGGTTAAGTTGATTTCCAATTATTACAATTATTTCCCCAGCGGGTGCTAGTCCAGCGAATTCGCATTTTCTACTTGCAGGTGCGAAGAAACGATTATGCGCCACGGAGGGAGATTTCGGCGTTGTTCGGCTTAGAAGGGGCATTTCCGCTTGCACAAATTCCTTTTCCTAGTTCATTCTAGCTAACGGTTTCGCTGTGGCGATGCGTGTAAACTTTTGCGAGGCCGGCGAAATGGCACATGTGAGCCCACCTTGCTTAGAGGAATTTATGTCTTCACAAGGTGATCTGTACAAGCTTCGCTAACAGTACGAACTTGGCGACAGTACGTACCATTTGGTGCAGTTCCCGAACCCGAATTGCGCTGGAGGTTTCTACCTAGGAGGGGCAGAACTCCCTTCAAGCAATAAACCACAAGCAATATAATAAATCAAAGAGATGACGTAGGAATGAAACCCCTAGAGGTCCGCTGCTTTGAAGGACTCTTTGTGCAGTATCGCGACTACCGTACTGAACGAACTATTGCACCAGAATGACCCTTCATACGGGAACTGCGCCCTTTTTCCTCTTCCCTTTCTAGAAAACTAGATGTGTAGAATAATTACTGCACCACTATTCTTGGAAGTAAACGGAACAATTTCAGTACCTTTCTCATGTGGTGGTGTTTTGACAGCACAAGCTTTCGGGCAGACATTCTCATCGCCACACTATCCAACCGAATATCCGTTTGGTACCGAATGTGTCTGGACGATCCAAGCTCCGAAGTCTCAATTGATCACTTTGAGTGTAAGTTTTTTTTCATCTGCGCTTTAAAGGAAGGGCACTATTGAACTATTCCTACCCCAAAAACTGAAAAAAATTTTTTCGCTGAAACGTTGCCTATAGATGTAATTCGATGCCTGATCACGAATATCACATTCGTTTCGAGCGCTGGCGTCATTTGGCGCCATTATGCGCCAATTTGGCGCCCACCACTTTTTTCACCAAAGTCGATGAAAACTTGCATGGGGTTAATTGAGGTCCTGATTACGAATTCAACATTCATTTTTATCGCTGGCGCCATTTGGGCGCCACTACGCGCCAATTTGGCGCTATATTGGCGGATAATGGCGCCAAATGGCGCCATCGCTCGAAACCAGTGTGATATTCGTGATCAGGATGTCGATTAACCCCATATGCAAGTTTTCATCAACTTTGGTGAAAAAAGTGGTGGGCGCCAAATTGGCGCATAATGGCGCCAAATGACGCCAGCGCTCGAAACGGATGTGATATTCGTGATCAGCGCATCGAATTACATCTATAGGCAACGTTTCAGCGAAAAAATTTTGTCTGAGTTTTTTGGGGTAGGAAGTAGTTCAGTAGTGCTAAGGAAGTACAGTCGTCATCCTTGCACTTGATAGGGGCGTGTCGGCGAGAAGGAGCGTGCACACTGTTTGAAGCCTTCTCAGCCTTTTCGTTGAAACGCGTATGCGACAAAAAGTGATAGAAAACGAGTAACACGAAGGATATAATACAGTAATGTCACTTCCTGGTTCAACGATTGGTGCAGTACGGGTGCGGGCGACCGCGCCGCACGCAGCCGCACTGACATTGACTATCAAGTGCAAGGATGACGACTGTAAGAAAAGAATT